TACCGTCTTCTCCCCTTCCTCACACACCAGGCTCTGATGACAAGGAAATGTCAGGACGACCTGGGGCGGCCCCGAACGCAAAGCGAAGCAGTCCGTCTGTGCGTGTCAAACACACCAACAGTTATCCGCAAAATATACCCGGTTTTTTTTACAAAATAAGTGATAATTCGAATCTCAAGTTCATGAAAGTGCCATTAAGATCGTATTAGGAATGGACGTTTGAGCCTGTGATGGCTGAACTGGCGTCATCTTTGCAGAAGCCTACGCCAATCTCATCACAGTCTGTCAGACTCGACCGGTCCGCACAGGTAAATCGTTCATGCGATAGGGGGGGGGAGGGACAGAGAGTCTTGCCGATATCCACATGAACTTCATTGTCATAAGTATGACGTGCTCGAAGCCATCATTACGAGCTCATGGTTACGCACCCTGATAGACTATTAGTTGATAAAAAACTAAGTTATCCATTTGAACGAGGATCAAACTTTAGTGACTCTTTTTTTCTTGTGACCCTTTGACACCATTCACTAATACTTGCAGGGTCTGTGTCGAATTACACCTCACGAATCAAGAAACCCAGTCTCAATCTAAATCTGCTTAGCCAAAACATGTCATGGGAAAATGAGAGAATAGAGGTTGATAAGTCGATTCAATACCGATTAGACTATAGTCCTAATCTGGCTGGTTTCCATATGACGGAATAGATTAACCTTCCCTCGTTTCGGGGCCCAGTCTGCAACTGTTCCTTCTTCCTGCGACGTCAGTCTGATATGCTTGGTTTCCAAAGTCGATCCCTCCCTACTCCCCTCCGACACCTCCCTCTTGAAGACCTCAGACAATATGCCTCGTGTGGAAGGCCTGCAAAGCATTGCCAACCACTACAACGAAGTAACGAACCTGCGATAACAGAAACGAAAGGGTGAGAGAACGAAGTTCGGTCTACGAAATAAAACAGATAGCGCGGAAACGTCGGTAGTCCATCAGCTGGGGGCAGGTGAGAACTGTCGACGTCACACTATGCATCCATAGGCCAACACAGGTCAACACATCTACGCCAATCCTGCTCCACCGATACCTGGAGTAAAATCCCAGACGAAGCCATCACCAGCGTAAGGAGTTGCATACATTCAGAGAAAGGGAGTTAGTGGACATGTCATTAAGAAGTCTGTCTACATTCGCAGGATAGAGTACGCATCCACATGGTGGAAGTACACGCAGGGTCAAATTGTTGGTGATTTGGTTGGATGAAGGTGGTTGCTTTCCACTCAGACCGCTGTAGCGCTGCTTGTAGGGGGAATACCAAGTTGTATGTACCTTAAATGTCGGCAAACCCTATCTGGCGCAGTGTGTTCACAGATATTTCTCTTACCCAGCGCCAGATGAACGATTTCTGGGACACTCACAGACCCCTCGATCTGTATGCCTGACACTTGCCTTCCAGGAGCTCGGTAAACATGTAGCAGCCGCTCCAGTTTCCCCTTTCTCCAACTCTGTTTTGTCGAACGATGGCCGCGACAGCTGTTGACACACGGCGACCCCCGTCGGCTAACAGTCAGACGCCTCCGGTCCAACTTCAGTGACTCTCGGCTGACCTCACAAACTTTCATCACCTCACACGCGTCGAACGCTCTGGCTTGATACCGGTGAGGCCTTGTGAATATGCGTCCCCCTATTCCGCCCCTAATTTGTCCAATCACACGACCAAAACTCAGCCAGTCACTCCCTCCTGCTGACCCGGACACTCACTCCCGCGTAAACAGTACACCGCGACTGACGCTCCCCGTGAACGGTCGCTTATCTCTGTCGCAAGCAAACAGCCAGCTTACGGCAACCTGCCTTGTGTATAGACTAAACTAATCCTCACAGCTCCCTGATTTCTGACATTAGACGAAACGAACTTATTGTGCGTGGTTTAAGTTGATCTCACATCCTTGACCGCCACAAACAACATTCAAAAAGGTTTGCTTTTAGAAGGCAGTCCGGCTGACTTATAAGCAGATCTCAAGAGCTGTACCAGTCAAAGACATGGGGGATTTTGAACTGGAGTATAGCTGCTGCTGCTGCCACTGCTGGTGCCTTATGTGGATCTTACAGTGGAGGCCTATTTTACAGTGGCTTACCCACGGTCTCTTGGACAAAAACTATTCACATGACATCAATGCGAAGACGTTGGCGGTCATGGTGGGGTTAGAGCCCACATTAAAAACAGTGAGCCTTAAGTACAGCCACAAGTTCGAGCCCTCTGGCTAAGGAGGGTTACAATAGAGAGCGCGAAATCTAGTCCCATTTGGATCGAGTTACCCTCCCAACCAAATACAACGTACGGAGTCCAGAACTTTTTTCCACAGAAAGCCTGTTACCCAAACAAGAATTCCTAAGCAATCAGTCTAGACGACCACCAGGCTCATTATTTGATGAACTGACTTGACTCATTTTTCGTAATGATGACAAGCGCATTCTCAACTTGGTTCCGTTTATTTCAGCAGATGATTTCTCGTTCTGGCATGCAGCCACGAGATTTAGTGAATCAGAGCGACAAAATTAAAGCAACTGTTTATTCGCAGGACCCTCAAGACGTTTCACAATTCCATGGAGAAATAAACAGGACTAGCTAGTATCAAAAGTGGAACGATCCGCCTTTGAATAGTGAAAACGGGTCTGTGTGCTATTGAAAAATTACTTATGAGACACATTATAATTCTCAGCGATGGGCTGACAGTATGTAGTTCTGGAAGATAGGGTGCAGTCTGGGTGAGGGTTTTAGAGAAAGTCTTGAAGTTCGTATATTCGAGTTTCTCGATTTCGAGGACAAATAATTTTTTGATTCTGCTAGGTAGCTGCAGATAGCTGCCTTTTTATATCCGGGAAGTAGAGTTTATGCTGACTTGCCACAGGAATTCTCTTTGCTTTTATAATCCCCTTCGTTGTTAAAAACTGCAGCAGTGGGAACAAAAGGATCCTGTGACCGGAGTTAAGGTATAATAGCTTTCCCACACAAAATGGATGAACGTGTGACCATTCAAACAGCACCTGTATTAGTCTGGGCCTGTGGATGCGTACAGGTACTCTTCCTCGGAGACCGGGAAATGAGAAACAGCTTCAGGAGGTGGTGGTGGTGGCTTAGGGAAGAACTTCCTTGGACGAGGCAATTAAATTCGGACCTTTCCGTTGAAGTATCCCCTGACAACCTAACATGGCAAAAAATGAAATCAAAATTTATCGTAGAATCGACTCAGTTTTTTTTCGGAAAAAAGGACTCTGCTTTTTCGCATTATGAGTTGCCTGATAGGCAGGAAAATCCAAAACAGCTGGGCCTGAAAATGACTGTTTAACGCATGCATGCAGGTTTCCAATACCATTCCTGACACCCAAAACGCGTCGTATTCAGTCTTATGAGAGCAGTCTGAGTGGTGAACTAGTACGATTGTATAAAATAGTCAGAACTTCAGTAAAGTGACTATTATCGCCTGCTGACCGGCCTCTGTTGAAGACCAGCCAGCGTTTATGGAATCCCGGCTATGCAGTCTAAACAGTAGTAATTCTGATAATAATTTAAGTGCGCTTTACGGGGGCGAACTAGGATAGTTCACTGATAAACACTTCCAACCCTCGCTTCTTCCTCCTCGTCCTTGTCCTACTCTTCCCCCTCCCCCCCGCTCCTCTCAAATCCCGACGTGTGAACATAGACTACTGCACCATTATCCGGATGTTAAACCAACTCCTTCCACTCGTTAAGTCTACTGAAGGAATGTTGTTAACACCTTATAAGTTCACGAGAAAAGCAGGCGTCTTCCAAGAGTCCTTGGTTCCCTGTGTGTTTCCCTGTCCGCGAGTGAGTGGCGCCCGCTCCATAACTTGCAATTAGGTCAAAGCTCTCATACTACAACTTAGCTATTTTTTCATCAAGTAGTCTACGCTCGACAGATCTCTCCATTAAAAATAATCCCTATTCGTCTGTTGAGACATGCAGTTTGACCGGTAGGTGGATATATGGTCCAGAAAAATGACGTGTTCCCTGGCATTTACCACTAACCAACCACTTGGATCCTGTGATCAGGAAACCTGTGAGAAATGGATTCTTCCCTGTCAATTAAAAAAAATATTCATGGGCTCTACTGTCAGCAAATTCTCGCTGTAGACTGCAATCTTGTGGACAAGACAAGTGACAATTGAAGCTAAGAGACGAGTCCCAGGAAGCAGTCTTGAAGAAGGAGACACGATCGCCGGGACAAGAGCTTTATTAGCCTGACGTTTCGGATTCCTGGTCGAATCCATCATCAGAGACATAAGCAGATAAGGGTGGTTCATGCACATGCGGTTGCAGTATTTATAGTATGCAGTAGCCATGCTACCGCATACCAATGAATATTCACGGCTCCCTCCCCTTCATCAAGCATCTGGTGCAGTTGCGGACAAAGCAACTACGTCGGAGAAACCGGAAGACAACTCCGAACGAGAATGGCCGAACACGCTGCAGCGGTGCGGAGAAATGATACCAGCTCTCAAGTTGCGGCTCATTAGACGGTTCTCGGCCACACATTCAAATATGACGAGGCCGAAATTCTCGCAAGAGGTGACAACCGCGTGAGCCGTGAGCTGCTTGAGGCATGGTTTACTGGCCCCCCAGTCTATTAACAAGTGCAATGATCTTCCCATTCAATACACCGTGCTGAGACTTCGTCTAGGCGAAGTCATTGGCCACGCGGGGAACGCACAGGTGAACACTCTTCCCAACACCCTGTTCAGCGCGTTAGATGGTCGAGCAATCATCACACCAACATCAAACGCACGTGATGAAATTGCAGCAATTAACGACGCGAATGTCGGCCATCACGCCACGTGCAACGATCTCTGATGAAGGGGAGGGAGCCGTGAATATTCATAGGCATGCGGTAGCATGTCTACTGCATACTATAAATAATGCAGCCCCATGTGCATAAACCACCCTTATCTGCTTATGTCTCTGATGATGGATTTGACCACGAATCCGAAATGTCAGGCTAATAACGCTCTTGTTCCGGCGATCGTGTCTTCTTCTTCTTCTTCTTCTTCTTCTTCTTCTTCTTCTTCAAGACAAGTGACAGTTGGCCATGGGAATAAGGAATCCCCCGTAGTGCTGGTGACCTTGAAGTCATTTACAGGGGTAACAATTTCCATGTCCCACCCATAACTGAAATCGCCTGGCCTATAAGCCGTCGTTAGTCAGCCATACACAATCCCATATTTGTGAGATCTGGGAATGAAAACCAGATTGAGCAGGGAGCTGGCTGAGCTGTTCATTGTGATCGGAAGTGAGCACTGTCGTGTTTTTGCGCCTTCGGCTTCAGTCCGCATTCTTGCCAACTTGATAATTGGCTATTGGCGGACACCCTGTGGACAGACGCTAATTACAATCAGCAAGCTTAATTCGACGAGGCTGGTGGGGCGGTCTCCATCACACTTCCCCCTCCTCTTAATTCTTCTTCTTCTTATTCTTCTTCTTATACTTCTTCTTCTTCTTCTTCTTCTTCTTCTTCTTCTTCTTCTTCTTCTTCTTCTTCCTCTTCTTCTTCTTCTTCTTCTTCTTCTTCTTCTTCTCCACCTCGTCCTCCATTTCTTCGTAGTACGTTTACCTTTCTTCTTTCTTCTCTAAATCATTATTAATAGCTGTCGCATTATCGCCATTTCATGTCTTACCAGGTCTCCTGGTACTCCAGTCGTCCATTTCCACAATTTACCGAGCCGGCTGCATTGATACACACCCTCACCTAAAAAAAATTCGGGATAACTTTATTCACATTTCTCTTCTTTTTTATATTCTCCAGTTCCTGTTTCTCTACCGGCCCCTTCACCTCACACTACTTCAGTTTTCATTTCTCGCTCACTCTACTCACATTATTTGCGTCTATAATAAAATGTCATAAAATGAGGGGATCACCGGTGATTGGGGCAAGTGCTTCTCAGCACTGATAGAGTTAAACCCCTGCTCGATAGGCCACGAATTCTCCCGGCGGGGTAATGCAGAAGACGGCATGAGGTTGACTCCCCACCCCCCTCTCGCCTCCCACTTCATTCACCAACCCACTTCAAGGCCGCGGTGGAAAGAGGCCATTAGACAAATCGCCCTGGCAGATGGGTTTTCGACGGTGACGTCACACGCCTCGGACGCGTCGTCCGCCTCCAACGGCAGCGCGATGACTAAGACACAGGGTGGAACTCCAGCGAGAAACGCTGGACACTGAAGGCCGGTGCGGCACTACGGCGCCCCAACCACAAAATATTTCTCTGTTCAGGGAAGAGTGGGTCCACTGAAATTTGTTGCCTTCCCGGGGTAAACGGCTTTCTGGTTGATGACCGTGTTCAAATTCAGGGAGCCACCTACCGGGTCGAGCTCGTCCAGGAATGATAAGGGTAGATTGCAGCAAGTCTTTTGCCGACTTCGTTCGGACACGGCAATATGTATCCATCCCCCGTATTACGGGTGGCATTGTGGTAAATTCCGAGGGTAGCTATTTATGTACGTCTAACCCACAAGTGATTCACAGTATGATAACCTGGTTTGAAGCATTTTGTTCCCGGTACGAAGCTGAAGTAGGCAAGAAGGGCAGGATTTATTGGTGCCAAAAAATTTCGCGACGGCTCGTCAGCTGCGTCCTGTCGCTTCATTAGAGAGATAACGAGCGAGAAGAATACAACAGATTTGATTTCTTGCAGAAAATCAATGCAGAAACAGTAAGGTCAGGGTTTTTGGTAAAACTGGCTAATCAATAAAGTTAGTAACTCAAACACCGTAGGCCTAGACAGTGAAAAAGGTTGAAGGTTAAAGAGCAAAAATTTCCGTCCAAATACTTGTTCGGGCACAAACAACTCGGACATTGCGTTACCTGGAAGCGGCCTATATACGACGAGTGAAATCAGATCTTTGTAAACAATTGGAACACGCGGTTAACCTAACATTGCCATGGTAGCCTCTAGCTCCATGATTTTCCCTTTCTCCTCTCATCTTTGCTCTTTAACCTTCCCCCTTTTTCACTTTCTTAGCCTACGGTGTTTGAGTTACTACTTTTATTGATTAGCCAGCTTTATCCAAAACCCTGACCTTGCTGTTTCTGCATTGATTTTCTGCACGAATTCAAATCTCTTGTATTCTTCTCACTTGTTGTCTCTCTTATGAAGCGACAGGACGCAGCGGACGAGGCGTCGCGAAATTTTTGGTACCAATAAATCCTGCCCTTCCTGCCTGCTTAACCTGGTTTGGATAATTTGCCAGCTAAACCAACTCTCCAGATAACTTTACAGAGCCATGACTCCCTATTAGCCCTTCGTATCAGGTCAGAATCACATGAACGTGAGAACAATGAGCATGTGCTGTAAATAGCTTTCAATTCTGAAGAACATGCATGATTAGCAATTTCAGTTTTTTGAGTCGGCGAATGCCTTAAGTCTATTTGTAAATCCGTCCCATCGTCTTTGACAACTTGGCCCTTATACTTTCCAGTCGGACAATATTCGCGCAACAAACCGGCTCGGACAAAGAGCTAGACCTGTTACATTCTACCTTTACCTTTCCATCCTCTAGATTACTTTTTGGCATAACAACGACTATCTTGCGGCGTCACAAGTGCGGTTGCAGACCTTATTACGATGTGATGGCCATCAATAAACTGCTGGATTGGCATTTGGTCCACTAGGGCAACTTTCGCCAGCTACTCTAGAAGTTTTCCTTGCTGCCTTTCTTGCATGCATGCAGACGGTCTGTATATGAAGCGGGACATTCACGACAGTTTAACCGTCTCCAAGGATGATATCTACCAACCTTCAACTGCATGGTGGGCGGTTGCACGTAAATTAGACTTAGCCCTAACAAAATTACGGAGCATTTGATGCCCTGCCTCCCCCCTAACTCACTTGGGCCTTCTGGGAGGGCAGAGTACGGATGACTGAAGACGGACTTGAGGGCTATAGCTGTCAACCATAGATGGCCCGTCTACGTGTGCCATACACGACCCGACGCCACAGACATGTGCCATATTTTAATAAAATTGGATGGCATAGATCTCATCATCATTATCACAATCACTGTCGTCGCAGCTTTTCTCTAATCCGCCTTCCCGGAAATTCCGGCTGAATTCCCACACACCACATTTGGTTTCGTATTCTACCTCTTTCCTCTCAGTGTTTTCTTTGGATTCTGACCCGGGACAGGCGGCAGTTCAGGAAGGCTAAGAGACGAGGCTGGTTCCCCTTACAGCAAACAATCATTTTCTGCTCGTCAGCATTTGGTCCGCAAAAGCTGATTATCCATCATTTGGCGACTCAATTAGCCAGGGCATTCAAGTGTACTAGTACTATTTTTGCCAATGCATGCAGTGCTGGTTACAACACCGTGTGCATCTGGGCCACTAGGGGGTCAGCAAAGTTGGCGGTTCATGAGTTGAGGATGACCTAGTGTGACCAGGAGCGTTCTTACAGTAAATTTCAAGTGCTTGTGTTTAGGGTCGGAGTTAGGGTTACGGTCTATGTCTCAGACTCTGCGAATTCGCACTTTTGTTTATCGATTATTTGAGGATAGGGATATTTTTTCTTGTCTAAAGCTGCTCACACGCGCCAAATAATGAACACACTTCACTGCGGAGGATGAGGATGAGGTGCACACAAAGTGCGTATGAACGCCTCTAGAGTTTTTGTCTTGTTTTTTATGAGTAGGGGCTGCAAAAAATGACTTCATAAGTGGACCTAGTAAACACCTGCGATACGATACACTTGAGTTAGCTGACCAGGTAAATGTTCGGCTTTGTGTAAGATAATAGATAGAGTCAAACAGCGTGTTCGTAGGATGAAAAATTTAAAAAAATATGTGGGTTTGATTTACTGGAAGACTGACGAACCTCGACAGTCTATTGTAGTTCGGTACAGCTTTCCACGAGATCGAATTTAAATCATTGGCCTCTCTGACAATGCACTCTGTTTTTCTATCAAATTAGCCGACAGTTTCCACGGCCTTCTCAGCGATCACGTCCACACCTAATTGTCCGTTGAGTTTACTACGGAGTCACTGACTTTTATGTTCTAATTTTAATTTTTTTCTTGATGCTGACAGGTTGAATTCCACCAGTGTCAGTGGAAGCCGGGGTTCGTTGAATGACGGCGTACCTAGAAGGACAGTGCATATTTACACATGGGCACAAGCCAGGGTGATTTAAAACTATTTTATATCCCAGCAGCTTCAAAACAAACTGCAAATGAAAATTTAGTTTTGCTTCTCTCCTTACAACCGAGTTAACTGACAGTTTCTTCGGCAGCACTTCCGCACATTATTGTCCATAGAGTTTACTACGGAGTGTATAACTTTTTAATTTTATAATCAGCCTTGAACTATCAAAAAACATGATTCTGGCAAGTGGAGTTCTAAAAATAGCAGCGGGAGGAATAATTCGTTGAATGCTGCCGCAGTTAGGAGGGCTTCCCAAGTTACAAATGGAGTCAAACTAGGATGATCTTAGATTATTTCATATGACAACAAATCAAAGTAAGCTCAAAATGAAAAGTGAGTCTTGCTGCTTCTTTTACACCGGCGGAATCAGCGCCTTTCAGGGTGGGTCTGATCAGAGGAAGGTTTCATTTTTATTTGCTTTGCTCTACTTGGCTCTGGCTAAGTTAACTGATTTGTGCTGCGCCGACAATTAGATTTTGTTAAAGGTTAAGGGTTCAGAGTCATGTGAATGTACCGGCTTACACAACAGGGCAAGGACGGTTAAATATGCCGGTTTTTATTTCCGCTTAAGTTCAGGAGATCTTTCCACGGAAATATTAAGACGAGGAAAGTATGAGGAGTCTTCATTGAGCACGGTAAAGCATATTCAAAAAAATGTTACCTGCTTATTGGATGAAAAGTATAATGGACTAACGGAACCTAAAAACGGCTGAGTACACATCAGCGGAGATGGTAGAGCGCAGAACAAAAGCTAAGCAAAGAAGTGCCTTGGTATTTCTTCTATCATTATTGCCACCGCCAACATCGTCTTCATAGTTATCGTCATCAGTATCATCTTCCTAATCACCCTCACCCTTTTGTCCTGAAGAAAAACACCTGGATATAAAGTGTAAAAAAGACAGAAAACCATGGGATGCGGGAAAATCACGGTACCACGAAGTTAAGATGGCGGCCGTCCATCATGTTGGAGGCGAGAGATGATAACGAAGCTCCGTACAGTTGACGTATAGATCTGACTGGGCTCGTAAATGTCCAGGTCACCGTGACTGCTAGCGTGGCATAAAGGAAGCTAGAAAAGCGAGCCCCCCATAAGATGCTTTCGGTGCTCGCGAAGCACGCGGGCCTTGGAAAAGATGAAATTCAGAGTATTCGGTTCCGATTTTAGGGTATTTGTACCATGTCGTGTTGTGCGATCCTATTTTATTTTTGACGGTCAGTAAGCACCATGTGCAATGCAGACGCGGAGGAGTGTTTGCTTTCTCTTTTTTTTTTCTCTCTCTCTACCCGGCGGTTGTTGTGGGGACGAAGGACAAACAGAGCGATTGGCCGGTGCTCAGTCTGCATGAGGCGTTCTCAAAGAACAAACCGGGGTTTTACCATGGCGGGGAAAAACTTACTAC